TATATATATATATATATATATATATATATATATATATATATATATATATATATATATATATATATATATATATATATATATATATATATATATATATATATATATATATATATATACATACATACATACATACATACATTATCTTAGTCAGCCTGTACAGTTTTAATTGGGGTTCCTATCATTTTCCATCATAGATCTGATGATTAGCTAACAGTACTATCACTTGAGTTCGAATCCCCTAGGACCTATTGTTTGTTTTTAAACTTTCAGTTCTATTCTTTGCTGTTCCCGCTTAATTCCCGAAGGATTTTTAGAGACTTTTTTTTGTTACCCTATAGGTTGTTGTAAGAGGGCTTATTTAAGACAGAGAGAAAGGGATTTTGCTGTGACTCCGCCTATCTCGCTTTGTGTTAATTGTCAATTGTTATTTGGAGCTGGTAGTTTTGGAACATAATATAACACGTTTAGCCTAGATGTTTGTATTTAATATTTAACATGTCTACTTTAGCTTGAGAGCCTCGCTAGTGACTGACATCTAGTCTAATTTGAGGACCTCGCTAGTGACTCACATTTAGTCTAGTTTGGGAACCTCTCTAGTGACTGACATCTAGTTTAATTTGAGGACCTCGCTAGTGACTCACATTTATTTTGAGGACCTCGCTAGTGACCCACATTTATTTTTAGAACCTCGCAAGTGACTGCCATGTAGTTTGAGAACCTCGTTAGTGATTGACATTTATTTTGAGAACCTCGCTAGTGGCTCACACGTAGTTTGAGAACCTCGCTAGTGGCTCACACGTAGTTTGAGAACCTCGCTAGTGACTGACATCTAGTTTGAGACCCTCGCTAGTGACACAGATGTAGTTTGAGAACCTCGCCAGTGACTGACATGTAGTTTGAGAACCTCGCCAGTGACTGACATGTAGTTTGAGAACCTCGCTAGTGACTGACATGTAGTTTGAGAACCTCGCCAGTGACTGACATGTAGTTTGAGAACCTCGCCAGTGACTGACATGTAGTTTGAGAACCTCGCCAGTGACTCACGCCCAGTCCGTCATTGGAGTTTATTGATTCCGCCATTGTTTAGGTGTAGCTGTAGGAGATATTAGTCCATGGATGGTTGACAATCTTCACGTCTGCGGCCAATTATTCCCCCACCGCTGGTCCAATACACGTCACATCCGTCTTAGCTTATTAGAGAATTATGTAGCTTGAGACCCACAAAGGGAGGCTTTAATGTGCTCTAGAAATAGAATCTACGCGGGTTTTATTGTTTGTTTACTAAAAGGTTATATATGAGTATACAAGCCATTTGCTTCTCATAAGTCTTATGACATTGTCTACAAAGCAATGACTTTAAGATTGGACTGTTGGTCTGTATGCCTACACGTCAGTCTGTTGTACCGAATCGGTACGGGATTAACTCTCATTGCAGATGGTTAGTACACTCGGGTTGGGGGTAGATATTGTAAAGAGCTGAAACAGTAAACCAAAACACGACTGTGGTGGATCATTCCTTGATTTAGCCGAGGTTTCACATAGGGGCGAAACTGTCAAAGAGGCCTATACATTTTCTATATGAAGTATAAATTGTTTTATTTCGACAAGGTTGGGGTTACTTCCTGGGAAACAGACCCCCACTGCTCCCCCCCCCCCCCCCAGTAGAAAATACCTGACAGAAACACTGGTTCACGTTGAACAACAATACAATCTTGTTGGCTGTGAGCCCAAACATCTTCCTACTGTACGCTGTTCGAGTCTACACTGGCGCTCGTCAAGTGCCACGCGTCAAACACTCAGGCCTCGGTCGCTGAGTCTTGGCGTTGAGAAAAGTTCTGCACCATGTAGTGAATTCATCTTACAGGAAGCGTTGCTCATGGTTGGGAAAATGTTGGTCGCAGTTTTATTCTGTCGTCCCGCCTGACGCACACGTTCAAAGATCCGCTACAGGCCGTCCTTTAATGACGTCACGCATGTTGAGACGACACCCTCTTTGGTGGTTATGTAAGTCAAGTCTCCCCTCCTCCTCCCCTATAAAATGACGTCTCAAGATTTCAGACACCGACAACTTAACACGTTTTCAATAAAAAAAATTCTACATTTCTAAGCGTTACAAAATACAGTGTGTTACTTTTTCTACACCCCCCTTCGTCCGACTCCGTAGGTGCATGACGTCATTCACGTGCCCCCCCCCCCCTCCCGACAAACCAACATTGACCTGAACAATAAATGCAAATCTTACATGTACCTATTGTGCCCCTGATGACTTAAGTCATGTCTATAATGAACTCTGAATCTTGATAGTAACACGTGGCCTCCCGCCCCCGCTTACAGTCATTGAAGACTTATCACACGCGTCCCTTAACGAACCGATATCTCACCTTTGTACGCCCAAGTTAATCAATGCTCAAATTTTCGAGTCAACGACCTGCTTTAATAAGTGCATAGATTTTTTTTAACACCACCACCGCTACCCCCCTCTCCCTGCTCATGGACAGCTCGCCATGTTCCAACCTGTGTCATCTCCCTAACCCAGATTAATAATCAGGCCATGACTCATCGCCCGATAGTCGAACAGCTATCGATAATTCAATCCGTCACCCGCTCAGTTAGCCCTTATTTCAATAATCCCCCTTCACCCCTCTCAGCCTCCTATGTGCTATAGGTCTGTATCCCCCCTCCCTCAACCCTTCCCCGCATCTGCCGTTAATCTATATTTCGTGTCAACATCTCAGCTAATCTAGCTGCGCATCACCCCTTCTCCTCCCTCCTCCCATGCACGAATTCAAAAATGTTTATTTACAAAAGCCCCCCCCCCTAAATCTGTCAACGGCCAGTAGCAACAATATACATAAGCCACAATCCAATATTTTCTGTGCTTGACCTATAACAACTTGGTCTCGTTTTCATCTCCGACCTTGACCTCTTACTCATGTTGTATTCTGACTGAGCAGCTGCTAATCCTACAACAGATGTTGGTATACAACCGTAGAGCTACTACTGCCGCTATTGACACACGCCTCGAGATCTTCTTTCCGCTGTATTGACGGTAGCCAGCTTTTACACACGTTTTGATTCCCACCGTGGGCCAACTTCAATACCTTATCTTTTAGTAGCCCAAAAAATTTACATGGGATCAGCTGTAGCAGTAAACACATATATACAACAAACACACTTCGTTTTTTCATATTTTGTCAGTTCTTCATTACATCATACAACCCTGGTACAATTAACCAAGTCCATTGTATTCCCTACCCAGGTACAATTTACCTGGTCCATTCTATTCCCTACCCAGGTACAATTAACCCAGTCCACTGTATTCCCTACCCAGGTACAATTTACCCAGTCCACTGTATTCCCTACCCAGGTACAATTTACCCAGTCCACTGTATTCCCTACCCAGGCAGTATAATTATCTTTTCCTCCCCTATAATTATAATTCAGAAATATAATTATTTCAGTCCAATTTTCATTTCTAAACCTAATAAATTGATTCCCTATACTCGTCCCCTATTGTTATCCATAGAAAACACAAGCCCATTTCCCCATGAAAAGAATGGTGTGTGAGTGATTCACACTAGGCAGTCACTATGGTTTCTCTAGTTCCCCAATTGATTCTGTCAGGTTGAACATAACATTGATAGATTGCTCTGATGAGAACTCCCAGGCCGTGCTCTATTATCAACCCATGCTGTCACAGTTTGATTTAGCAGTACCTAATTTAATCTATATTCCAACATATGACAAGTTTCAAAGGTTCTAACCCGCAGATGTTCCTTTTTTTTAAAAAAAAACAGATCTCTCTTCATTTCTAATCCACAGGGAGGGATTAGTGTTTATCTATTTTTTGGCCTTGAGCTAGTTAGCCAAAGTCCTTAAGATTATTGCTGATTCCCTCTCCTTATGCCAAATCTGAAGTCAACATCAACAGAACGTACTTCACTTTTTGTTACAATTTTGAATTATTATATTTTTCTTAAAAAGTGTTTAAACTGAGGTTAGCAGTCGAGTAAAATCAGATAGCCCAAGTTTTACAGTTACACAATCAAGCTGTGTATTTCCTGCTGATCAAGGTTTAAGCCCTAGAGAGAACTTACAACTGTGATTTGATCTCCCTTCACTCCCCGTGCACTAATCCATCTTAATCCTCTGTATTATCTCATGTTTTATTAGCTTCATTAGATCATTGATATTTTTCTCTTCCATTTTAAAACAATAGTTTTTTTCTTTTTAATTATTTCTAATTTCGAAAACTCTATTTGTTAAACTAAAAGTATCCCTTGTTAAATAAATATTGTGCGGTGGGTATGAAATGTGTACCTCTATGTAATGAACACCTTGTTAACTAGTGTACTAATTCTCCCTCCCAGACCAAATGTGTACCACTATGTAATGAACACCTTGTTAACTAGTGTACTAATTCTCCCTCCCAGACCAAATGTGTACCACTATGTAATGAACACCTTGTTAACTAGTGTACTAATTCTCCCTCCCAGACCAAATGTGTACCACTATGTAATGAACACCTTGTTAACTAGTGTACTAATTCTCTCTCCCAGACCAAATGTGTACCACTATGTAATGAACACATTGTTAACTAGTGTACTAATTCTCTCTCCCAGACCAAATGTGTACCACTATGTAATGAACACCTTGTTAACTAGTGTACTAATTCTCTCTCCCAGACCAAATGTGTACCACTATGTAATGAACACCTTGTTAACTAGTGTACTAATTCTCCCTCCCAGACCAAATGTGTACCACTATGTAATGAACACCTTGTTAACTAGTGTACTAATTCTCTCTCCCAGACCAAATGTGTACCACTATGTAATGAACACCTTGTTAACTAGTGTACTAATTCTCTCTCCCAGACCAAATGTGTACCACTATGTAATGAACACCTTGTTAACTAGTGTACTAATTCTCTCTCCCAGACCAAATGTGTACCACTATGTAATGAACACATTGTTATCTAGTGTACTAATTCTCCCTCCCAGACCGTGGTGATTGACAGCAGATCTTTCCTTGAGTACAACACCAGCAACATCCACCAGTCTGTCAATGTCTGCTGCTCTAAGCTGGTCAAGAGGAGGCTGCAGCAAGATAAGGTCAGGCTGACCCACGGCTTTTTGGCTGGTTTTTTTTTCTTGTAGCTACTTAATAGCTTAATCATGTTCCCATTGGCGAACTGTCTCCTCCATTCTGCCTAATTAACAACTAATTAAATTTATGCTGCTAGAAAAATCTGTCATTATGAATTACACCTGTCAAAATGAATTACGCCTGTCACTATCAAGAAATCTGTCATTATGAATTGGATCTGTGCAAGAAATTAAAGAGCTAATAGTTTTGTTGTTTATCCTGTTACTTTTTGTCTTAACATTTCAAATAATTATGTTTTAGGTCCATGTCCTTGTAGTTTTGTTGTTTATCCTGTTACTTTTTGTCTTAACATCTCAAATAATTATGTTTTAGGTCCATGTCCTTGTAGTTTTGTTGTTTATCCTGTTACTTTTTGTCTTAACATCTCAAATAATTATGTTTTAGGTCCATGTCCTTGTAGTTTTGTTGTTTGTCCAGTTACTTTTTGTCTTAACATCTCAAATAATTATGTTTTAGGTCCATGTCCTTGTAGTTTTGTTGTTTATCCTGTTACTTTTTGTCTTAACATTTCAAATAATTATGTTTTAGGTCCATGTCCTTGTAGTTTTGTTGTTTGTCCAGTTACTTTTTGTCTTAACATCTCAAATAATTATGTTTTAGGTCCATGTCCTTGTAGTTTTGTTGTTTATCCTGTTACTTTTTGTCTTAACATCTCAAATAATTATGTTTTAGGCCCATGTCCTTGTAGTTTTGTTGTTTATCCTGTTACTTTTTGTCTTAACATTTCAAATAATTATGTTTTAGGTCCATGTCCTTGTAGATTTGTTGTTTATCCTGTTACTTTTTGTCTTAACATTTCAAATAATTATGTTTTAGGTCCATGTCCTTGTAGTTTTGTTGTTTGTCCAGTTACTTTTTGTCTTAACATCTCAAATAATTATGTTTTAGGTCCATGTCCTTGTAGTTTTGTTGTTTATCCTGTTACTTTTTGTCTTAACATTTCAAATAATTATGTTTTAGGTCCATGTCCTTGTAGTTTTGTTGTTTATCCTGTTACTTTTTGTCTTAACATTTCAAATAATTATGTTTTAGGTCCATGTCCTTGTAGATTTGTTGTTTATCCTGTTACTTTTTGTCTTAACATTTCAAATAATTATGTTTTAGGTCCATGTCCTTGTAGATTTGTTGTTTATCCTGTTACTTTTTGTCTTAACATTTCAAATAATTATGTTTTAGGTCCATGTCCTTGTAGATTTGTTGTTTATCCTGTTACTTTTTGTCTTAACATTTCAAATAATTATGTTTTAGGTCCATGTCCTTGTAGATTTGTTGTTTATCCTGTTACTTTTTGTCTTAACATTTCAAATAATTATGTTTTAGGTCCATGTCCTTGTAGATTTGTTGTTTATCCTGTTACTTTTTGTCTTAACATTTCAAATAATTATGTTTTAGGTCCATGTCCTTGTAGTTTTGTTGTTTATCCTGTTACTTTTTGTCTTAACATTTCAAATAATTATGTTTTAGGTCCATGTCCTTGTAGATTTGTTGTTTATCCTGTTACTTTTTGTCTTAACATTTCAAATAATTATGTTTTAGGTCCATGTCCTTGTAGTTTTGTTGTTTATCCTGTTACTTTTTGTCTTAACATTTCAAATAATTATGTTTTAGGTCCATGTCCTTGTAGTTTTGTTGTTTATCCTGTTACTTTTTGTCTTAACATTTCAAATAATTATGTTTTAGGCCCATGTCCTTGTAGTTTTGTTGTTTATCCTGTTACTTTTTGTCTTAACATTCAAATAATTATGTTTTAGGCCCATGTCCTTGTAGTTTTGTTGTTTATCCTGTTACTTTTTGTCTTAACATTTCAAATAATTATGTTTTAGGTCCATGTCCTTGTAGTTTTGTTGTTTATCGTTACTTTTTGTCTCAACATTTCAAATAATTATGTTTTAGGTCCATGTCCTTGACCTGTTGAATCAGACATGTAACATTGTGACTGATGCATCATGGGATGTGATTGTGTATGACCAGTGCACAGAAGACCCCTCACAGCTTACATCTGATAACTTTGTCCAGGTGCTGCTTCACAAGCTGAGCACCACTTTCAACAGTGTTGCCTTTTTAAAAGGTTTGTTCCTTTTATGTTGTATCCATTACGAGTTTTTTACTGTATTCAAAAGTTCTTTAACTTTGGCTTTTATTTTTTGTTCCTGTAAAAATGCCAGCAGGTCAATACAAAATTGTATCAAAATTTGTTCTCTGGTGGTTTTGGTTGTAGAGTCAGAGACTGGGTTTGGTTCAGGATAGTAGTAAGACAAACCAAATACATCCCACTGATAGATGTCAATTAATACCAAAAGCTATAAACTATAGTTTTTGTGTGAATACATCCTACTGTAGTTTCAATTACTCCCCTAAGCACTCCCTTATATAGTAATTGTTATGGTTGCAGGAGGTTTCCTGGCATTCCAAGCATCTCATCCCAGCCTGACAGAAAACAAGTCCAGCTCACACCGCTGCTCTACCCTGACCTCCCTGTCTCAGCCATGCATGCCAGTGAGCAACATTGGCCCCACTCGGATCCTGCCATTTTTGTACCTGGGCAGTCAGCAGGACTCACTCAATCAAGATTTAGCGCAGGTCAGGAAATTATTTTTATATAACTCTTTGTACTTCTTTTTTACTTGTGAGTTTTAAGTTTTTCATATTAATTAGAGTTTGTTCCAAGCATGGCTTTTGAAATGAATCATATGATCATAATTGATGGCTCAACAGGTGAACGGGATCACATACATATTGAATGTAAGCAAGACGTGCCCCAGACCACCGTACATTCTGGACGGCCACTTCCATCGTATCCCTGTCAATGACAACTACTGTGAAAAGTTACTGCCATACTTTTATGAGGCTTTCCAGTTTTTGGGTGAGTTCAAATGTTTTAGACTCGTGGGAGGATTTTGTTTTTATAACCACACTTAAATAATGTTTTGGTAACAACAAACTTGAGACAAGACGACCAGAACAGATGGACCATAAAAATTTGGTAGTAATTGGATTTGGGTGTGTGAGAAGTTCTTGTAGGCAACCCTGACACAAGAAACCCTTCCCCTAGCTGTTTGGGTGAAATAAAAAGATGAACTGAAATGTAAACTTTGATATCTTGTTCTCAGACAAGGTGCGTGAGGCCAACGGATGTGTTTTGGTTCACTGCCTGGGTGGAGTGTCACGTTCCCCCACCCTGGCCATTGCCTACATCATGAGATACATGCGCATGTCCTCAGACGAGGCCTACAGGTGGGTTTGTTTTCTCACACTTGGCCTGAAACTTGGGATTTGATGAATAAGAAATTTTTAGTTTGGTTATTTTATTGTATGAAACATGAGTGACAGCTGTTTGTGTCATTTCAGATATGTTAAAGACAAGCGTCCGACAATCTCACCCAATTTCAACTTCCTTGGGCAACTGTTGGAGTACGAGAAAGTCATAAGGAAGGAAGAACAGGTAGAGGAGGCACGTAAAGAGGCCGTCCGAGCAACAATGCTAGAGGAGGGCATGACCTTTGACCTGGAGCGAGCAAACCCTGGCGTCATGGACCTTCACACGACCAGCCCGTCCTCTCCTGGTCCGCGGTCAGCTCACAGAACTTTTGTCCTGGACCAGACGTCCACTCAAGCGTTCCACTCTCACCTGGCCAGCTCCAGCTTCAAGCTGGGCAAGCTCCAGGACTGTCCTCTACCTGGACCCTTCGCTGACCGCGCCAGACCAACAGACGGGTCAGCCACAGCCTCTGTCCAGGGCTCACCTGCAGCCTGTCCTCTGCTGAAGTATCAGCCCCACAATTGTACTTACCCAGATGTGTCTGCCCTGCCCGGCCCATCACACCAAGTCACCTGTTCTAAATCTGCATGTTTTAGTGCAGCCACAACAAACGCTCTCAACATCAGCCAGTTCAGTAACCCACTGGCTAACAGCTGTGATAATCACAATGAAGTAAAACACTATTCTATCCAGTCGCCTGTGTGTCCTCTCACTGGTTTCCCTAGCCCGGGAGGTGCACATGACGACTTCCCCCAGTCCACCGGCGCCACAACAGGCTTCCCTGGGCCAGGAACCAACGGCAGCAGTACCTCAACTGTACAGCCCTCATTCACCGCATACCACAGTCAAACCATCGGCAGCAGCTCTGGAGACCCGGAATGTTCTGCCATCAAATCCAGCGACTCTCACCCTGTATCCAGTGAGCACAAAGAGCAACCTAAGTCAAGATACGGGTTCAGTTTTTCTTCAGTGTTTTCAAATTTCAGGTGGAAATCCAGACCACCTACACTTCCTTTAGGATCTCCAGTGGGCACGCAAAAGGAGGGCAGAAGTTTTCTGAAAAAGCAAGGAGCCGAGTGCGGTGCTGTGGCCCAGCTGACCCCAGTATCAGAGGCTGTGGAAAACAATGATCTCGTCGTGAATGAAGGCTTGGGTGAGTGTATGAAAAGTGGCACACCAGGCTGTGACACAATTGAAGAAATGGACACTACCGTGGAAACCAGTATCAGTGATTCAGGCAGCAAACTTTCCACTGCAACTAACTTATTGGCATCTAATCAGAATATTTTATCCACAACGGCACCAGAATCATCCAGCGCTCTCCGGTCAGCATCGCTACGGCTGAGTGCTAAGAACTTTACATTATCCCTAAGCTCCCCAACATCAGAGTTCCCAGTGAACTTCCCGCCATCACTAACCCACAAAGCTACTTCCCCGTCAGACTCTAACAAAAGGAAATGTGGCCTGGTGGCCGCTAGCGCTGACAGCCCAGACAAAGTGGCAAAAACCGAGGATCACCAGGGGCTGACTCCCCCCAAAACCCTCAACCTTGGCCAGGGTAAACTCAAACAAAAACTCTCTGCCAGACGGCCCTTTGTGTTGGCCATTTCCTCCCCCACATCAGCCATGGCACAACTCAACTTTGTCTCCTCACCTGACACTTTACCTGATTCCCCTTCAACGGCAGCAAAAGAAGAACAGCTCTATATAGAAGAGAACTCCAGACGGACTACAGAAAACAGTCATGACATTACAGACCCACCTGCAAGACATAAGCAGTGTGAGCATCCCATGCTAGAAGAAATGACTCTGACTTTAAATAAAAACACAAGACAGTGTAGGGTCAAAGAACTTCCTTTGTCTGCTTCCCTGAACACCAGTTCACCCAGCCCAGGCGCCTCCCCCACCTTTAGTGAGGTCTCAACAGGTGTAAACCTTGAGAGCTTTAAGGAGCTGCCCATCACATCCTTGGACAAGCTGAGCTTCACCCCCTGCTACACCAGGGATATTGTCCAGGAGCTGAAGAAACAGGATGCTGCCAGTCTGGCCTCTGAAGATCTCAGCCAGCTGCGGTCCTCTGCGCTAGATTCACCAATGTCAATCAGCAGCGGCAGCTCAGCCCCCAGCATATCAAGTTCCATTGTATCCCCCGTTGATTACACCGCAACAAACCTGTTCCCAAGTGAGGCTAAGACAGAGAGCCTCACAGCTTTTCCTTTCCTGCCCTCAGAAACTCATCTGTCAGCAGACCCAGTTGCACATGGCGCCAAGCTGAGCAGCACCCAGGGTACCCCTGACTCTGTCCTCTCTGACCTCTCACCTTCATTTCCTCAGGCCACCATTGCACCTACCCTCCCCACATGCACCCCCCACTACTACACCAGCACATCCTCCATTGAACCCCTCTCACCCATGTCATTATGTGAAAGCTCTTGCAGCTCCCTGCCGTGGTCCTCAAAAAGAAACAGTATATCATCCCCCATCCAGTCATCCATCAGCTCCCCCATCTCATCCCTCTCTTCCCCCATTGTTTCATCCCCATCCTTCTCTCCCCTGGTCACATCCCCCACCACTAGTGCAACGTACCTGGCCTCTACTAGTGGAGTCAGCAAAATAATTCGCAGAGAGAAGAGTAAACGCGTGACAGACCGTCCCAACAGCATAGCTTTTTCGTCATATCCAACCTGCGACTTGGTTCCTTCGGCACCAGACTCTTCTCCATCCAACCCTGGTGGTCAAGCTAGTCAAGACGATGCCAGCGAGGCTTACATGTCTGTCAGTGGCAAACGCTCCCGTCTCAGCGTCAACTCTGAATCTCACGCACCACAGGGGCGGACATCTTGGGGTGGTTATTCCGAGAGGGAGGTGTACAAGAAGTACAGACAGATCACTGCTGCCATGGAGAATGCCATGCTCCAAACACAAGTGTTTTCCCCGGGCTCGTCTCGGCTAAACCCTGGCAGCGTCTCTTCTAGGAAAGCCCGCAGTCTGGATGATTTCCTGGACAATAACCTGGAGGAGACTGATATGATGCAATATCCCCGAGGCAGGCACCACTGGAGTGGCTACAGAGATGAGCACCTAATGGAGCAGTACCATTGCGGCATTGCCTCAGAGCCCTACCATTCCAGTTCCAGTCTGTCTTCCAACGGCAGCCGTGGGTCTAGCATGGAGATCATTCAGGTATCTTGACCTACCTTGACCATGCACTTAAATGGCATTTTGTTTTTCATTTCTGTTGTGTGTGCATTTCTGTTTTAATAATGTTAACTTTTAGAAGAGGCATGCGACCTTAATGTTGATAAATACCATGACATGTTTAACTAATGTTAAAATGAACATATCATTGCTTATGTTTTAAATAAATTTAACTAGTTGTGCCCACTCACTAGTCTCCTACATATAAACAAAAACAAAGTTAGATTTTATTGTGCTAATTCTTACCTTGTGCTAATTTTGAACATTTTGCTTATGTGTTTTCCTTTAATTTTGGTGTTGTGCATCTCTTTTTTATTTAATCTTATGCTTTTCAGAGTTGTACATATGTTGTTAAACTTATTTTTAGCTTAGGCTTTGGGTTTCACATTCTTTGTTTTAGTTGGGATTGTGTTGCATTTGTGGACATAATTTTTTTTTATATTTCTGATTCATTTTATTGGTTTTTGTTTTTTTATTTTATCTAATTTAACAATGCTTATTGTATTCTTTTCTTGTGAAAGTTTATTTCAAGCCTCATTTCTTATTTTTGCCCAGATGTTGTGAGAAAATGTTTCATTTGTTTGAGACCACTATAAACAGGTACATTTTATGGTTGGTTATTTGTTGATTCATTCTAAACAGTATTAGAGTCAAGTTTAAAAATGCTACACAGATATTATTGTGGTTTACAAATAAAATAGTTTTAAAATTACATACATGATGGACACATTACATTATATTAAATATTATTTTGTAATTAATTATGACAATAGATTTAAATAAATTTTAATTAAATTAAAACAGACTAAAAGTTTATTTTGGTTTCAAAAACTAAATTCATTTAGAAATCTGTGTAGGAACAAGTTTTTGTGCAGAATATTATTTCTTTGCTGTTTGTTTCCCAAATTTTTCTTCATTTTCTGAGTTTGTTTTTTGTTGCTGTTTGATTGCTTTTATAATTTCATTCAAAATTGTAAAAAATGTAATGAACGCTCAATCTAATCAACACATCAAATTTTTAGTGAAACTCTACACTTGTTGCATGAAGTGCTAAAGTCCTAGAACTGGCTTTTAAGAGTGTATTACATAGTGTAGCAACCATCTCACACTGCTAACTATAGATTCACTGCTCAAGATGCAGTATTACTAAATTTATCTCATTTGTGCCTGATATTTTAGAACAAAATTTAAATGTGGTTTGGTTATTTCTCTTGTCTGGTATCTTAAACAAACTGCTTTAAACTATTTCTCTTTTGTACAAAAAAAAGTCAAGTTAACCTAATGAAATTCTTTCTTTTATTTACAAGCTGCCACGCTGAATGGTAAGTCTATCCCTGGTAATTTAATACTCCCCTGATACCCTTGCTGGGTCCAGTCTTGTACAGCATTTGGTTGCATTTCATGTGCATTGCTCAGCCACTTAGCATCATCCTCACTGCCAGCATGACCACTGGCATCAAAGATAATAATTTTAAGTCGTCTCGTCTCACAAGACCACCACTTCATTATTTATTTATTTATTAATTCCTGAAGATGCTCCGTCTGTATGTGTTTTAGGGAACAATGTATTGTAAATATCTCGGAGACCAGTAACTGACAGTGTAAAGACAAAATCTAAGATGAATTAAGAAGCATCCAAATCCTAGTTGGTACACATATTTCTTACAAATCTGTCTCTTTCTGCTGTGTTTTTAATGCAAGTACTTTGTAAGCTAGATCTTTTGCTGTGAGCATGTCCAGAGTTTTTAAGAAGCAAATGATAATTGGGTATATTGGTAATAAATGTTTAACAGAGGCTTGGTCATGTGACTCTAACTAAAAGTGCATGAAGTTTTGTCATCATCAACTGCTGTGTTAGAATCCAGTTTTTTTTAATTTTCTCAGCATTGAATTAACATGCACAGTCATTGTTCTCTCAACTTTATGTAGGTGCCAGTTTCAGAATAGGAAAAGTTAACACATAGAGGCATGGTAATGACTATTTAAGGAATCCTCTGTGTAATCTGGACATTGTATCTAGGTCTGTTGGTAGCATTGTGTTCATTGACTGTCCTTTCCCAGAATGTACACTGCTAACTATAAGAGGAGACAGTAGGGCAATAGAGGTTTATCTTGACAAACTTATCTGCAACTCAAGGCATGACTCATTACTCCCGCAGAATAAGGTGCATTGTCTGCCCTACTTTATTGGAGCTACTGCAGCAAACAAGGTGTTTACAGACACCTTTTGCTGTCAGTACACAATTTAATTGCTGCCTTCATGCCACCAAACTCTCATTATGCTAGCCTGGTGGAAGACAAGTACCATAACTTCTTTTTACTCCTAGTGTTGTATTTTCTCCCTTTGTGTGCCAGTTGATTTTTTTTTAAATGTGTAGCTTATTTTTATGTACGTCCCCTCTTTCCCATGAATGCAAAAGCTGAATGAAAGTAGTTGTGAGAACTAGCTGAAGAGTTTATTCTGAGACCACAGCCCTACCTGTTGCAGCACAGTGCACTTTTTTCTCTCAGGTTCAAGCATGTTCTATTTTTAGGTTGGCTTAGCCCAATTTATTATTTTTGGCCATTCTCACCTTTTAACTTTTTTTTTTCTTTCTCTTACCAATCACCTTGCAATAAACAGCCCTCTTACTTCATGAATCACATAAATAAAAACAAAAATATTTTAATCACTGATGTTTATTTAAATGCATTATTTAGTTTAAATATTTTTTTTGGACAGATAAGAGCTCTTCAGCTTGACATTTATATCAGCATTCTTTGGTCTTAAGATAGTATTATGTTATATTTAATACATCTAAAAAAAAAAACTTTCTTAATAGAACAGGATTTTTCACTAGGTAATTCCCAGTGTATAAATAATGTCCACTTAATGCACTAAATATTATTCAAAGTATTCAATTTATGTAATTAAGCAGGACAAAATGTCTAACTAATTTTCAAAGATATTAAAAAATTATAAATAATCATTTGTTCATCTAGTATCTTGAAAATTTAATCGCACCAATTTAAGAACTGCAACATGACGTTTGTATACAAGATAGTAACTTGGTTGTAACTTCCATTGCATATCTTTCTTTTCTCAATTAGTTGCATGTGTATCCTGTTAATTTGATTGCTTTGCTAGTGGGGAAATAAACCTTTAGCCAAAGCTTCCGGTGTCTCTAAAGAAAAATTGGTTGTGGTGTTTTATAGCTACCGTTATTTGAAATATTTTATGAATACTGGTTATCTTTGTATACCTATGTGCCCTAAAACACCTTGATCTTGCATAGGGTGGTTTGCATAGTTTAATTTTTTTTAATGAAAAAAATTCTGATGATGAAACTAGTGTAGTGAGCAACGTTGCCCTTGAAGCAACTGAAATATGGACTGGCATGAAGAAAGACCTCACCTTGTGTTATGTATTCCTGATGTTGATTTTTGCTGTGTATATTATCTGAAAGAACCCCTTTTTTCACCCCCACCCTCATAACACCTTGTTGTTATACCTGCATCATTATGTGTTGTTTAACCCTGGACAGTGAAAATGTTGTGTTTCAGTAGTTTTTACCTACCTCTCAAGATATAAAAAAAAAAATTGTTCGATTTCAATGATTACTATGTACTATTTACAATTTTATTTACAATACGTTTCTTCACCCATTTACATTTTTTTAAATTACTCATTAAAAAATGTACTAAATTTCTTTTTCAAAACTCAGTGATATGAATGTTAAATGTGACATAATTAATCTAGCAAGTAGTAAAGTACTTTATGAAAAATAATTGTTCCCCTTTAGTGTTCACAGTTTTCTTCTAGGCAGGATTTGAATAGTGTGTCATTTTAACCAAAAATGTTCAAGAAACCAGACTAACTAGATTAAATCAGGAAATTTATAAAGTGTTTAAATGTGCCAGTAGACTGTTGTTTCTTGTTAACAGTTCATTACCCTATACATTTGTGATGAAAATAGTTGTGTATTTTCTGTGAAATCCCTCATTACCTCTTCTCTTCATGTTGCGTTGTTTGGAGCAAATGTTCATTTAGAGAGCAGATGATTGTGATAGAAGTTCTTCATTTGTGATAACTTGTATATTACACCAGATAAAAAAATATTTTTTTTCTTGGCATTTCATTATGAATGGGTGATATTTTTGCTGCAGAATGAGAGGTTTTGTGAAAAATAATCAGAAGATTGGGAAGTCTCTCTGACATTTTAAAAGTGTGCCTCCTTTATTTAATTTACAGACTTAGATAGTATTTTGAAGTAGAATAATTACTTAATGAAATTTTTGTTGTTGTCATTAGCGCTAGTTTTGTTTTGTATTCCAGATTTAAGTTTAAGTGCTACAAAAAAGCTATTAAAGATAGAAACCGTTGTAAAAAAAAATTATCCTTTAATGTTAAGGATTTGTTCATATATAATTTCTGTATTTTTTAGAATGATGACTGGTACTAACAATACAAAAAAAATCTACTTTATTTAAACGAACAAATTCCATAATAGACTCAGCATCTTTGTTTCCCAGTTTTATAAATTACATGAGGTGATGAGTATATATTATAAAAATCAACTATTTGTAATAATTTCAAAGCCATTTCCATGGAGCTACATATGGTTACAAAAATACAGGCTGGCCAATGGCATTTTGGGCTGATTGTTTTTTAATGGAGCCTTGAATTAACTATAAAGTTAGATCCCTTTGTCATCAATTTTAAAATTATAGTAGTATCTACTCATATCAAGTGTTGTAAATTTGTATGTGAAATTGGGAGGATTAACTGTACAAAGTCAATGTGATGGTTTCAATTTTTACACAAAAATATGATTCTAGTGTCAGCAAGATTTCATTCGGTCAGTTGCTGGTGGTGTCACTTTTTTTTTTTTTACATTTCGAGAAATTATACATCCTGTCCCTTCCCTTTCATGTCTCGTTTGTCCATCCAAAACATAATAAGTAGTGTTTTTTTCTACATGCAGTAATATCATTACAATAACCTTTCATTTTTTTCTACTCTAGGTATTGAAACAAATATTTTTTATATTTATAAATGTTCATTCATGTGTTCAAGTGAGACCTAATGTCACCTCAAAAATAAGTTTGGTTTTGTGTATTTTTATTCATACAAACTTTTACACGTTACTGCAGTTTGGCAGCAAATCATTTCCTATTTGTATCGATGCAGGGATAGTTTGTTCTAAATAACTAGACAAAATAATTATGTAAATAACTTTAGCACTTCATGCAACTTATGTGTCAATATTTACTGATGTGTACAAAATCAATTTCATAACCTTGTACATCAGTTTCATTACTCCGTATTGCATTCTAAGTTCACTACTAAAAACACCCCCAACTCTAAATTACAGCTTTTTTAGAAATAAAACATATGATCCCTGATTGTAATCAGTGGCAAAGCAGGAGTCATTCATATTTATATATATTAATATATGTATATTATATATATATATATATATATATATATATATATATATATATATATATATATATATATATATATATATATATATATATATATATATATATATATATATATATATATATATATATTAATATGTATATTAATATGTATATTAATATATAAATATATATAATTTATTTAAGTATATTAATTAATTTAGTATTGTTGTTTTTATGCATTCAAGACATTTAAATAAGACACAGCGAGTGCACCTTTACCAACAAAAGCAGCAGCTTAATTTAATTTTAGGGATCTATTCTTAAAGTTTTTAACAACTCAACACCCCCCTGCTTGTGCCCTTGTTTATAATTATATGAATCTAGAAATACTGACAAGCCACTGTACTCTATAGACAAACACACCAAATTTACGGCTATTTTGATCAAAATATATTCACCAATAGCACACAGGGCTGTGATGATGTTTTGCTTGACAGGTTTATCTAACCCTTTAAGCAGTTTATTTCTACTGAACTGGGAAGTAACTAGGTAGATGGCGCCACTAACTTTCATATCCAGATGTGTATAGGGGCCCAAACACATTTGATTCTTATATAATATTATAATACACAGTACCTTTCACACCATTGAATGATATGTTTTTAAAACTGGTAGAAATTCCATTCCTAAATCATCAAAAATGTCTACACTGATAATAAAATGTCATTGAAGGGGCTGCCACATAATAAACTTGAACAATAGTCATAAAACGTTTGTAATTTTGATACATTTTAGCCTCTTACGGAGAAGGCTTTGTAAAATAAACCAGTCCAGTTTATGAATCAGTACTTAGTCCAATAGATTATTTATTAACACATTACATAGTAATAAAATGTAGACGTACAATATAGAGTTTTTGAAGTATGCACTTGGTTTATTAAAATGTACATTTTTTAGATTAATACCTGTAAGGTTTATAAATCTTTTAGTTATTTGGTGAATGTCATTTTAAATGTAGGTATAGCAATACCACATCAAAAAGGGAAGGAGAATAAGGATAACAATACAATTTTAAAAATGGTAGAGAAATAAGGATAACATTACCTCTTAAAAATGGTAAGGGAATATGGATAACATTACCACTTCTAAAAAGGAGGGGAAAAGGATATATAACAAATCCACTACAAAAATGGGAGGGGAATATCTGCAGCTGCTCATGCTCTTGGTAGTAATTGTATTAATAATTGTTTTGGAATTTACCAATTGATAATATTTTTTTGTATTTGTCTCATTAGGTTGTTTCCCTTGTTTTAGTTGTCTCCCTTCAATAGGTTGTATCCTTTTGTTTCGCACAGTTTTAACTAATCACCCATCTAGTTTTGATGTGTGTGGTTATTATAAAAGTAGAATAAACGTCTTACACACCTTAGAGCTTGTTTATAAAAGCTGGCTTTGAAATGTGGTAATTAGTGATTGGTTGGTTAAGAAATGAAATACGTAACTAGTGTTTGTTGAAATACACGGACAGAATTTTTTTTGTGACGGTGGGAACATAAAAATTGTGACTTTTGTGATGTTGTGATTATTCCACAGAAGTGGGCGGAGTCATGCCCATCCATTATTGAACCTTCCTCGGTCACGTGATCTTTATTGTCGATTGTGATTTCATGTTTGATAAAAATTAAACTTTTCACTATTTACATCCAACATTTTTTTGTGTGTTTGTCATTTAAAAAAATAAATAAAACAATGTTTTCGTTTTTTTTTTAATCCTTTGTGCAGTTGAATACAAATCGGCAATGTTTTAATGTGTGTTTTAATAAGTTACAAATATGCAAGTCCGTTTAAGTTATGTGATTAAATTAAAGTAAATCTCGAAATGTTTGCTCAACTGGTGAAAGAAAGATAACCGAAGTCCCAAAAAGGTTATGTCCCCTGGACTTCTCCACCACACCCCATCAAGTGCATGTCTGCTACTGACAAATTGTCTTGGCTGTATCGATCCGGGTCATCGCCCCCCATCCCCCACCCATCCTAATTTACCAGATGATTCAGCTGTTTATAGCGATGACTCACTGCCTGACCCATTTCTTCTTTTCTATGCAAGGGAAATAATTGATTTAAGTTTAAGGAAAAATTCTCCACAATGGCCGTAAAAGAACAGCTGTTTCTTATCTCTCACATAAGACGATACTCTGTTTATTTCAATGTGTTTCCCTCATAATATTATGATGTTACACACACACATACTATAACCATTGTCAAAAATCATCGATTTTATAACAGCACACTGTGGGTTAGGGTACATAAATGACGTCATACTGTTTTTTTACCCATTCTACCCCCCCCCCCCCCAATGATAGTGTAATTAAAAATGAAGTCTTTCTTTAGTCCCTAAATGCACTTTTTTTTAAACTCGCGATTTCTTTCTAAAATATCTTTATTTGATCAACTTTTCTTACAAAACAGACCTACCCACTAAAGTTTTTTTTTTTGTTTTTTTAACGCGCGTTAACGGATAATGTAACTAAAGCTCAGATTCAAAAAGGTTTTTTTTTTAAATGCAAAATTTTGATATCAGACTTTCTGAACATCCGCCACTCTAGTCACACGTCCACATAGTCCAAATCTTCCCCCCCCCTTTTCCCCCAGGCGAATGACGTCATTTGCAATACAATGACAATAGAAATTGAATTTTTTTTTTGTTCCTGTTTCAGAACTTATAATCCAAATGAAGTAGAGTTTACATGTTTATTGACCTCGGCAGTTGGCATATGAAAGGATGGTGTGTTCAGCACTTACCAGACACCTTTATTTTCCCTAACGTGAGTCAGGTACCCATCAGAGCTGGGTGAACTCAAAGACGTCCTTCAGTCACGAGTCCTCGTGTCTACTAGAAAAACAATCTAAAGATTAGCTATATCGTACTTATAAAAAATGACCTTGTATATTTGTAGATGACTGTTTATGTACTGTTGTATCAGAAAAAGTACGGATCGCTTCTTATTGCTGTGATAAAATTGTTTTGTATTCGATACAACTAGGCGGTAAAAAAATCCAAGGTTTAGTATAGAACTTTTAACGAAATAATTTCAGTATTTTACCTTGTTTTTTAAACAGTTTGAATACAATGTCAGTTGAAACTAAGTAATAGACGTTTAGTTTTATGTTGTGTATGAGCTGCCATTTGCTCACGGCTATCAATATGTAAGCTGTAAAAAAAACAACATCATTGTTACCGTCAGTTATTCAAGTTATATTACCAAGCATGAAGCTAACCAAATATTTGACCATGCCAGAAATCTGTATAAATCTGATCAACAAAATAAAATTAGAAAAAAATCTGGAATATTAGCTAACGTTTCTTAGTTGCATTTGATGTTTACACGATGCTGGTTCGAATCCGAATAGATCGGTGTTGACTAGTGAATGGCGTCCCACACTTAAGAGGGGGGGGGGGGTCTCAGACTTTTTAATACGGTATGCTTTTAGGTGAAGGTTTTAAAGAAAAATATACAATGTAAAGTGGAATCTGTTTGTTAGAAATTTGATAAGGTTCGGTGATTGCGTGATTAATATTGTAACATCATTTTAGTTTGAAATTTTTGTGACAATCAGTTGGGTGTTAATGAAAATGCGAGAGGCGGACAACCGCTCAGGGGAGGGGGGTGGGCATTTTAAAAACAGTTCTGCAAGTAATTTTAGATTGTAGATACACTGGGCGGTAATCTTTGGTAAGAAACGTTGTGAGAACCCGTACGATGGGGGGGGGGGGGCGACGACACCGAAAAAACACTGGTCGTTGATTTGATTCAAATTTCCAATCGTATGATTGATATCTTCAGCACAATGCGGTATTTTTTTTATTAAGGTAAGATTCTAAGGGGTCTCCATAAATGACGTTACACTCGTAGGGGGAGAGGGGTCCGTAATTTTGTGACGGTGTGTGATGAGGGGGAGGGGGTTCAGATGGTGTGTCGTCACTTTTTTGCATTATAAAAAAGCAATGTCAGAAAACGAGTTTTAGCCGTTCTTTAGCGTTTTAGAAAACGGTTTTAATAAATTGTAATAGGAATTGATTAAAATACTCTTATGTTGACAGTTCTGACAAGATTTTGGAAAAATATCGATGTTTTAAGAAAAATTCAACAGCAATTTTGAGGGGGGGGGGGTTGTAAGCTGAGGTGTGACGTCAGGCGGGTCTGGCTTTTTGTGACGATGTGTGACGGAGGAGGGGCGGGGGGGGTAAAATCGACCAAAAAAGCGTGACGTTATATATGGATGACCCCTAATGCTATGCTCGTCATTGACACTGTTGATTCTACTCAACATAGGTGTTTGCCGCTGTTATTTTATACGTCTAATACATATCACAACTTATCACAACAAATATCTAGAAAATCGTAACAAACTCAAAGCACATTATATTTTCAGTTTATCAATGTTAGGGCTGACGTCATCTCATAATTGTTTTTTTTTTAAGGGAAGGGCAAGCTCTGACGATAGCAAATGCTAAAAATAGCTATCATAAGGCAATACAATTGAATATATTTGTTTTATTATCAATTTGCTCAACATTGGAACTAGTCATTGGGTGATCTCAAAGTCAGCACATAATGAAAAGAGCATTCTTTCTATTGTTAACCTTTGGTTTCGGGTTCTTTTTAGAGGGTATATAGATTTATAGGCAAGCTGGAAAATTCTTTTTATTAGAAGGCTAAAAAAAATCAAAGCTTTAACAAAGTTTAGAGTGTGGCGAAAGATAGTTAGTTGGGCTAAGGGAGAGTACTGGTGGTTATATGGGTATAGAAGCTGTTATTAGAAAAAATCCGAGAATGTTTCCAAGGTACCAATCATCGAGAATAGGGGTGTCGTGGCCTAGCGGTAGAGAGCTAACCCAAATGTCTCGAGTTTGAATCCGGGTTAAAATAATGTAATAATAATGCAATGAATCTGATGTATGTCAGCTAGGAGACGATTTTAGAATGTTTAGTTATAAAAACAAGCAACCCTGACAGAATTTGTTCATACTCTTTTTTTATTTCATTACGGGGTGTACAATGTTAAAATACAGTTAACACTGTACGAAGGACAAATAACATAACAAATTATGGCACCTAATTAAAAATACAGACTAAATCAATAAAGAGCAATTTTTTTGTATTACTTCCTGTGGATTTCATAACCAGAGATGCGATTCAAAGTAAAAAATTGCATCAATATACAATTTAGTAAAATAACCTAAGTTTTTCTTAAGTTAAAAAAATAGTGTTAAACTATTGTGTTTAGAGATAATTTGTTTTCTTCTTTTTAGTGCCCATGTAAAAGCTTGTTATTTTAAACAATAAAATATTTTTATCATTTAGTCTCTTTACATAACAACCTTCTTTGATCAGGTTAAAAAAGTCTGCTACTGTACTTCTAACAGTATCCATATACTAACACATTCCTCTTCTTGATTGGGACAAACTACGAACAAATAAACATATACATGAGCCAGCCAGTGACTATTTATAAAAAATAAAAGATAATATCAACTGAACCACCACCAAAATTAAAAGATTCACATAAATAAAGATAAAAGTTTTATAACAAAGTATAACAGGCAAAGATATAAGTACCATGGTCTGAAGGGCAGATAATGGAATGGAATGTATGGACAGCAATGGACATAATGAAAATAATTGCGGACAAAGTTTTAGTCAGTCATTAAGTAACAGAGGTAATGTTTTTAAGTACTCACTAGTAAATGCAAATAAGAGCTGTAAATGGAAAAAACACCTTATGTTCTATAGCTGTATAAGCTCATTAGGTTTTGTTGATGTAGTGATTAAGTAAGGTTCCCCTTTTCAAAGCTGGCGGTCCATGGGTCAAGTGAAGTAGAGTTCACCCGTTTCTGTGACCTCGGCATATGAAGGAATAGTGTGGTCAGCACTATGCCAAGCTGCCTTTACTTTACGTTATGTGAGTTAGGTACACATCATAGCTTGTTGAACTTGGGGACATTCTACAGTGTGCTAGCACTCTACCACTATTGCTGATGTATGAGAGATACAATATTCTAGTTCTACATATATACAAATGTTGTTTTAAAACATATTTCCGAGAACAAATTTATACTGGGTGGCTGTAGCCTAGTGAATAATTTTTTCTGTTTGGACACAGGGGTCAAAGGTTGATCATCCATTCACTACAGCAGCATAAACAGATCTTTAAAATAACTCTAAACAGATTATATCACATAAAAGTTTCTGTATCATATATCAAATAGCAGAAATGATACAATGAATTTAATAGATGCCCATTTAATTTTTGCAGTCAATAGGCAATTTAGACAAAATATTTTCATAATACTTATAGTTCTCATAGATTTGTAACATGATTAAAATATAAAAGTAATAACTTTCAACATGAAACAAATTATGTTGTTGGTATAAATTATAATATTTGTACAAGTAAAAATATGAAGTTAATATCAAAGGAATATTTACAATAAAAATACATTTACTTCTAAATCAGATTAAACTTCAATTGTTTATTATTATAAAACTCATTTGAAAATAAAACTGATCTTAAATTTTTTTGTAAAATATTAATAATCACTGGAAGAGATATTCAAAAAAATATATAGAGAAAATTGAAGATTAGTTGTCCATAAATGTTAAGAGGTTGTCACACTCCCAATTGGGAGGGGAGGGTTCAGACTACTGCAACCATGTTTGTCAAGGTGAACAGCAAGTATGTCTGAAGTCATTTTAAAAAGTACATCTTTCAATCTAAATTTTAGCAGTAATTTCACTTTTATGTTATAGTTTTTTTGGTAAAAATGAACAATAATGTTTCAATAATTAGTGTTAGCAATTAGCAATGCTTCAGACAAAATCAACTAAAATAGCAGCCTGTTAACAATAGTTTTACTATTTTAATATTTGTTGACTATATACATTAATTACAGGGAAATAATTCAATTAATATTTTAGTAAATTATTAAAACAAAGAAAATTAAATTCTCAGAAAGGGTGGGGACAATGACAAGCGAGGTCACTTGGGAAGGGAGATTATCAAAAAAGCCTGACATCATTTTATGGATGACCCTTGAGAGAAGTTTTTTAAAAATGCTTAATAAAACATGTTGAAGTATCAACTTTTATCAAAAACTGCTTCCAAAGTTGGTTAAAAGTGTAAACTTAACAGTAACATTTAATTTTAGAGATACTGTACCATACAATATCTTTGGAAATGATCGTAACCATTTTTATAATAGACCTCATCAAATGCCTAAAGCAGAAACAATTTTAATTACTTAGGCTTCAAAAACTTAGTGAATAGTGAAGGTAAGCTTGGCAAGGAGTTATGTACTTGTGTAGAATGTAAGTGGTACGCCAATATGTTAATCCCTAATTCATTCAAATCACTTCTTTCTTCTGGATCAACCTGCAAAAAATAATGGAGCAATTCTTTTGAATTAAAAAATTCTTTTTGAAACAAAAAAAAACAAAAAAACTATTGTAAAAAAATAAGAATGCAAACTATTGATGCATTAAAAATCTTTAAAATGTGTTTTATGTAAAAAAAAAAAAAACAACTTGTGCCTTACTGAATATAAACATAAACAAAATGTAGTAAAGCAAACTAATACTGTTGTTTTTGTATTTGTTTGTAAGATAGTAATAACAATTACCTTCCAGCAACTAGTCAAAATCTCTGTAACGTTTGGGTTTAGGTTTTCTGTGTGAAATGATGGTTCAGCTTCTACTGGGGGATGCTGGAACCGTGTCTTCATCTAAAGAAAATTTAATTAGCACCTGATTTTATACAACTATTTCTTTTATGAAAAGGAAATAAATGGCACTACATTTTTGCAACAATCACTAAAGTTAGTAAATTATAAAAGTTTCTATATTTATTTATTATTTTTCTTATCTTGTATACATTTCTGTATTCATTATTATTATGGTAGAGTATGTGTAAACAATTAATCTTTCCTTAAGGACACACTTGATAGAAATCACAAAGGTAAAAATAAGGTTATATGGTTTAATGCATTGTTACATATAAGTTGTGAAAAGTTACAAGACAGAGAATGATGTGCTATAGACTGATGGAAGAAACCAGATTATTTGATTCAAGGAATAACTGGTTAATTAATAATGAATATGTTTTGTGCAAGTTAGACAAAGGTCAATATAAGGCATTTATTTTTATTTGCACCTTTTGAATGAAGCCACTTTGGTTTTGGGATGAATTATTTAAATCCTAGACACTATCTGCTTTTATCTGATAGAGCAAATAATCTTACTTTGAGTAAGAGCTTTTCAATAGGTTCATGTCTGTCTTCATGCCACACTAAGTGACCAGTGACCAGCTCATAGAAAAGGCATCCTAGACCCCAGACATCACTAGCTTGCTTAATGTTGTTATGTAGACAAAGCTTTAAAAACAAATGAATATCAAAGATATGTACATATTTCTTAGTTGAAAACAGATAATGATTTCTATAGTTTTGATTACAAGCATTTGGTCATAGTATGTGTAACAGTATAACTGAAAATAAATATATTTTGATGATCATTAACATATGCTATACATAATAATATGCACTATAATTTTAGCAGAACAATGATAATCTTTAAGTACCTCAGGGGCCTGTACTTGAATAGGTAATGTGAGACGAAGAAACCCTGAGTCATAAGAACTCTCCATGGCTGAAGATGAAAAGTTGCAGAGCTTGACTTGAAAGCTTTCATCTGTTCCAGTCCTGATAATGTTACTGCCTGAATTTAAGTACACATTTGTAAGTAGATATTTCTTCTCTTTTAATATTTACATAACAATTATTGCAATGTTTAATCACCCTTAACCAAACTTTCCTTGTAACTTTAGTAGAGACTGCTAATCTGGAATTGATTAGCTTCTGGAGTGTCAAACTCCCGTATAATACATTTGTTTAGTTTTTGTATGACCTTTCATCTTAAACTTATGTACACCACGGTTTTATAAAAACTTTAATTTTATTTTTCCTGCAACTTTTTATAACGCTAAGTCATCTGCTAATAGAAATGTTTACAGTACTTTACTTAGAACATTGAGATATATATTTTTTTACTTTAAAATATGTACTTAACTTACATTAACAGTTCATTGAATTCTTTGAACATGTGTGGGGTTTTGTTTTAGTGCTAAAAAGTTTAGGAAAGTATCTTGTTTGATTCTAAAGGATGTTTCACTTACTTGTCCAATTGAGGAAAAGTATCCCATTGTCATGTAAGAACTTTGTAGCCAGCATGAGTTGCAACATTATGTAGCAGATGACTGAAGAATCAAGATGTCTGTGCTGTACCTCTAAAAGAGCTTCCCTTAAAGAATGACCTATTAAAGAAATATACAAAATTTTGAAAACATTTTTTTTTTAGAAAACTAATAATTAACCCATGTTTTCTAAATTAAGCAAACAGCTCAGATTAAATCTCCAATATGCTATAGTTACACTGACCTTCATAGACAGAACATATCTGGTAATGGTCACTGAACTTGGCTGCCCATAATATTGTAACAATATTTTCATGTCCAATCTTCCCTAGTGTATAGTATATCTCCCACAAACTTTCTTTTTCATCTTCAGGAAAAGGAACCTACAGGGGATTAATTAATGCTAAGCAATCACTGAGTTCCTATTTATAACCATCAGGTTGGTTTAGGAAATTTTAGTTGTAGTTGCAGTAACACTCTTTAATTAAAACCTTTTGAAGATCCATGGGTCAGGTGAAATAGAGTTCAGCTGTTTGATCCACCTTGGCATTTGAAGGATAGTGTGGTCAGCACTATACTCAGCTGCCTTTACTTTCCCTAATTCAAGTCAGGTAACCATCAGAACTGGGTGGACTCAGTCATCTCCTTTAGACTTTGATACTTTAGGGTTAGCAGTCAAACTCTGTTATACTCTTTACAAATCAAGTATTTTTAATTGTCTATAATTAAAGAAATGTAATAAGTCAAACATTTTTAAAACTAACTTTCACATTATATCATTACTCAATAGTTAAAGTAAATAATGTAACAAACTTTTTTTTACATATTAATTAAATTGAATTAAATTAAACTGACTGCAGAATCTTGAAACACAAGTATTTGAATTGACTAACATTTATAAAGAAATTTGTCTTTGGATTAAACCCATGTTTTGGTGTGATCTTATAACTCAAAAAAGAAATAAAGAAAGAGGAGATAAATTACACAGACCTTTTTTATGACCCAGTATTGAGTGTTTGGTGCTGGCAGTGGTGTTGCCAGAAAAGCTCGACTGGAATTTCCCAGCATGCACAATCTCCTCCAATCTGCCCCCTCTTCTAAAACTTCCTTTTTAGGTGGTTGGGGAAAAAACTGAAATTAACAAATAATCAATGAATAACAATCAAAGCCTGCTTAGAAGTGACTGCATTTGAAAAAAAAACACACAATATGCTTTTAGATTATGATCTAGATTTATTACCTGCAAAAAGTCATTTTTGTTTGCAGAAGGAAGATAATAACAATCAGCATAATTCTCCAACTTTCTTTTAGTTAAACTCAGCACATCAGTTGTATCCGATGAACTAAAATAAAAATATAACAACCCTGCATTAAATGGTTCTGAACACAATACATGTCAGAATAGCCACTGAAAAACGTTACTAACTTGTTTACAGAGAAGTCACAGCCCCTTAGTGAGCACTTGGGAAGAGAACAATGCTGATGGTGATTATGTATTTCTTGGAGCAAAGATTTCTGATCAATGCTTAAATCTTTCATGTGTAAATCTGGGCTTTGAAGACTTTCAATTGATTTTTTAATCTGTTAGAATATTAAAATGCATTCACAAAGTAGGCATAGATAGGTGTCATTTATTTTAAAATATGCTTGAAATGACACTAATCCTTTAAGAACATTTGTTGCCTAATGACTTCAAAAAAAAAAAATGAGCTTAGAAATAATGATGTAAGTAGTTCAGGCAAAATAGATTGTGCCCTTTATTGCTTTTATCAATGTTTTTTTTTATTTGCTAGTATTAGTATTTATTCACATGCTTGTAAGTAAGTACCTGATGACAAATGACATTGTCACACTCTTTTTCATCACAGCGAGCAGTCATTTCAAACTGGTGTAAAAGGCATGTGCTTTGTAAACAGCTGCACACACTATAAGACTGTGAATCCTGGTGATGTATACACATATTTAATATTTTTAAAGAGCAACAATGTTTAATGTTAGTTGATGAAAAGTTATAGCAAAGAATTTGGTAGTCTACAGGTAATTTTTTAAATATTAAAAGAATATAAAGTAATACTTGTAATTTATCATACATTTTTAAAGTCATTATGGCTTATAAATTCTAGATACTTATTGCCTAGAATTTTTACATAAACATTTTGGACAAGGTTTGTTCAAGTATTTTTTCACATGTTTTAAAGAGGAATTCACAATTTATTCATTGTACAGCTGAGCCTAGCTACTTATCGTGTTATTTCAAATAAATCTAAATTTTACCTACCTCAAATATGGATTCAGTGTTTTTTGGGAAAAGATGATTTTGACTATGGTCCTGAATGTTAAGATTCAAGAAAGAACTTCTAATTTCCTGTGAACAACTTGATCCTAAATCGTAATTAAAAAACAAAAATTAGTTTGTAGAAAAAATGCACACCATAAATACAACAAATTTATTGGAGAATTAGATTTGAGTATTTTTAAACCAAAATCTTAAAATGCCCTCAATATTTGGTTATATCATCATCACATAGAAATTATTGATGCCACTATAAAACATTCAATTACAATGCTATACCTAACAATTCCTTAAGGGTCTTTTTATAGAAAACTGCTAAGAAATAATGTACCTCATAGGTAGTTTTTTTCCAAATCTAAGAGTCACTTATTGGACCAAGAGAAAGAGTTACAAGGCTGATTAATATTAATTAAGATTAACAAAGGTTTTGTACAAAGTGTTTGCGTCACAATAAAACCACTATATCACCAGATTTTATCTGTAAGTGAGAAACTAAATTTACATGATAGTTAAACATTCAATTTAAAAATAAGGTAACAATAATTGTATTTTTACCTAATGATGAACTTGGATGTAGAAGCAGATAACCAAGATTTGTTTCTTGCTGCTGTTGAAGCCTATGTTCAACACTTGAAGCAACATAGAAGCTGCTGGTTGACTGGCTTGAGTTGCAATTGTACTTAGGGCCATTTGAGCTTCTTAGATATGAGATATTTGTTGAGCTTTGCCCAAAATTGTTGTTTGATAAAACTAGTGGAGGAAATGTTTGAAGTTCACTCTTGCTAGAGGCAAACTTTAGGGAAGATTGTAAGCTACTGGATGAAAGAGGGTCAGAGACATGTGGTGCAATAGTTCTCTCTCTGCTTACTGCTCCAGTGGCATTGTTCAACGGAAGTCCAGAACTGATTTTATGTTTAGGCTTATAGTCATTTTCTACATCTACTAACTTTAGCTCATTCATATTTTTCTGATTATCTTCATTCAACTCATCAGGGTTATTTTTCCTCCATTCTTCACTTGTTATTTTTGGGTACATTTTTTCAGAGAATGCACCTAACACACTACCACAATTTGAAACAGGTAGGGTTTTCTCTTCCTCTGCTAAACTGATTAGATCCATTTGGCCATGTCTATTCATAGGAAAGTATTCAAAAACCTCATTGTCACCTGTGCTGCTTTGACTAACTAAAGGCTTTGTAATTTTTATAAGCCTAAGGTTTTTATTCTCATCAATATCAGAACTAGAACTTAAATTTTTTTGATAGCTGTTTAAGTGTGCAGGTCTATCACTGCTACAGGAGCTGCTACTGAAAGAGCTAACTGAAAGATTGCTGCTACCAGCTTTTCTGGATGTGGAATTTTCACTTGAGCATGAACTGGAACTAATAATATCAGGCTCTTTAGAATCAGGTAATTTTAGATTACCCCGGGCTCTTGATATAACATCAGGTACATTGAGATAGGTGCTGTTTTTAATGGTTTCAGGAACATTTTCTCCATTACAATCAATCCTTACTCCTTTTTTCAAAACTCCACGTTGTTTAGTTGGTTCCCCTATATGATCATCATGATTTGTATTAGATGCCATTACTAATAATTACTTTCCGAGAATTGACTTTAAAGACTGATAGAAATTTGTTGCAACAAACTTGTGTTGACACACTGTATGTTGAAGATCCTATAATCCATGAAGTTCTTAAGCTGAAATATTTTAGAAGTTTTTGCATAAATTACAAAAAAAAACTTGGGAACAAGCAGAAAATTATTCTAAATCTAACTGTAATGCATTGATTAGAGATGACTTTTGTGTTTAATTGTAAATAGAGTGACTTCCGCCTGAATCTCCTGCTATAAGTCTATAAAAATAAAACTTTAACACGATGGCTGCTAGATCTATAGTAAATGAGTAAATGAGTAAATGAGCATGGTTGCAGTTGCATCTGTTCAAAACATCGCTGGTGTTCATTTATTACTGAAAAGTTTTAATTCAATTGTTTAAAAACAGGCACATAAATTGAAACAGGGAAACATTTTTGTATTTTTAAAACATAAATCCTCCTCAAAATGTGAAATAATTATTAAAATGTAAGGAGTCACCTGTTTTTCACATTACTAGTCGCGGGCGATTTTACGTACCCAAAACGATAGATTACCAGAATCTAGTCTAGAAATCTAGATTTACTAGACTCTAGATCTAGATTCTAGATCAAAATACTAGTAGGCTAGACATAGAGAAGTCTAGATCTAGATTAATAGGGTAAAAATTTAGAGAAAACCCTTGATATTTCATTGTATCCGCCGCCAACCAATCAAACGCGCGCTTTCAACGCGTTTTGGTTGGCGGCTGACGTCACGATGACGTCACGCGACCCGTAAACACGGCGTTTTTGGAGC